TGGGACAGGACGCGGGGGGATGGTTTGAAACTGAAGCAGGGGAGGTTTAGGCTGGATCTAAGGAAGAAATTCTTTAGCGGGAGGGCGGTGAAACCCTGGCAGGGGTTGCCCAGAGAGGGGGTGGAGGCCCCCTCCCTGGGAACATCCAAGGCCAGGTTGGACGGGGCTGTGAGCAACCTGATCTGGTTCAAGGTGTCCCTGCTCCTGCAGGGGGGTTGGGCTGGGTGACCTCTAGGGGTCCCTTCCAACCCAAACCATACCATGATTCTATGAAAACGCTGCGTGGTGTTGACTGGGTGGTTGTCTTGGAGCAGCACTGGATATGATGGATGAGTAGGAAGGGGAAAATGTAGGGTTGGAAGAGGAAGAGGAAAATGAGGAAGAGGAAAACGAGGACGTGAAGCCTCAGCAATTAGAAATGCAGAATAGACGGCTCGAGGCAAAACCTCAGCCCCAAACACGCGCAGAAGGTGAAGAGCGTGGGAGGAGGTGGTTGGAAGCCACCTTAGACCCGGCTCAAGCTCAGTAATGATGATGATGATGACGATGGTTGGGATAGCTGAAAAGGAGCAGACCCGCGGGTGGTAACGAGGATGATTCCCGCCCTCTTGGCCCCAGTAATTAAGGCTGAACAAGGGAGCACACCCACGAAACTCGTCTCCGATTAATTGATCTGAGGTAACGCAAAGGGAAACACGCGTAGAGGGGTTGGCACGGGCCTGGACAGCCGGACCCAACGCCCTCCACCGCCATCGTTGGCATTTGGTCTGGGATATTGGACACCACGGGGCCGAATCGTAGAATAGAATCATGGAATCACTGAGGTTGGAGAAGCCCTTGAAGCTCCCCCAGCCCAACCCTTCCCCTACCCCTGCCATCCTACCCCCAAACCCCGGCCCTCAGCACCGCCTCTGCCCGGCTGTTAAATCCCCCCAGGGCTGGGGACTCGACCCCTTCCCTGGATGAGGGCTCCCCTCAGCCTCCTCTGCTCCAGGCTGAACCCCCCCAGCTCCCCCAGCCGCTCCCCAGCAGCCTGGGGCTCCAGACCCCTCCCCAGCTCCGCTGCCCTTCTCTGGACACGCTCCAGCCCCCCCAGGTCCTTCGGGGAGGGAGGGGCCCAACCCTGACCCCAGCACTCGAGGGGCGGCCCCCCCAGTGCCCAGCACAGGGGCACGCTCCCTGCCCTGCTCCTGCTGGCCACACCACTCCTGACACAAGCCAGGATGCCGCTGGCCCTCTTGGCCACCTGGGCACGATGATTCCTCAACCTTTGAAGGGGTTCTGGCAGTTGAAGGAAGGGTTGGGAACAACTCAACCCTCAACTCGGGGAAGAAGCTTAACCCTCCACGTGCCGACACCTCTTGTTAAGCTTCTTGGGGGTAAACCACCGCCTTTGGATGTAGCACCAGGGATGGCTGCATCCATCAGCGGTGGCTTGACTGAGGAGAATAAAGTTGCCAAAGCTGTGGAACACCCAGCGATGGCCACCAAATACACGGAGGCTCCATCTTCTCCTACCCAGGATGCTCCTGAACTCAATTCCCACCAACGGGGTGGTGTCTTGACTTGATGGGAACGTTCATAAAACGTTGGGTGGACGGCAAGGAACGGCTGCTGTGGGATCTGCAGCTGATGGAGCTGCAGGAACGGAGCGAGTAGAAGGTTCTGCTCAACCAGCAGAGCTCTAGGACATGGTAGGAGCTCTTGGAAATGGCATCTGGGCCGTATACGTACAGGCCAGCGCTACGCAATGGCGAGGAAATCGGGCAAAACACAACTGGTAGATGGGGGAATGGAGATGTATGGAGAAGAAAATGTTGGGAAGGAGAAGAAAATGTTGGGAAGGAGAAGACCAGATCGCCAACGCTTGTCCTACTGCTCTAGGGCATGGAGCTGCACGCCGGAAAAACACCGCTCGAGTGGCCAGATTGACCAAAATGGGCGGCCACCAGCAGAAACAGGGTGGGATTTTCTTCTACCTTGAGTATTGGGATGGTTGAACGGCTCCATGAATGGTGGGGACGCACGGACCTGTATCATCACGTGGCAAGACCATGTTGGCCATGCTCTAAGCAACAAGCGGTCGCACCTGCAGGTTTGGTGATGGTAAGGAGGAGTTCTCAGAAGTCAACTGTTTAGGGAAGGCGAGGTCCTTTGGGCCACTTGGTGAGGGGACCTGAAGCTCCTCCGTGACACCAACTTCTAAAGGATGGAAATTTGTGATGACCGGAGTTTAAAAAGGAACAGATTTGGGTAACGTCCAGGCACCGTGGTGGGATTAAACTGGTTTGGTGCGCACCTGATGCCATAGGAGATACCGATAATGGGTCACCTTCTGAAAAGAAGAGAGGAACGGTGCCTTCAGCATGGAGCGAAGTGGACTTTGAAACCCTCCTGAGCTCTGAGGAAGGGGGCGGTGGAAAAGCGGGAGGGGGTTGATTAAACAATGACTCAAATGACGATGTTAATTAGGGGGGGACCTAGGGGAGACCATACAAGCATTGAACTCAAGGCAAGACTCCTACGGGTAGTCCACTACGGAGAGGTCCACGTGGTGACCCAACACCAGGAGGATGCTTTGACTGCCTCCAGGCATCTGGGAGAGCGGGTGAGGGATCAAAACCCCTCCCTCGGGAAATGCCGGGTGGGAAAACGCACGTTTGAGGGAGGGGAATGTGGGAAATGGTGGGAGCGAGATGACTCGGTCCCGAAGCTTGTGTGCAACCCAAGACTTTGGTCTTCTTCCTCCCTAGGAACCGTTGACCTCTTGGATGGACAAGTGGGAAGCTGTCCTTGAACCTTCATCCGGACAGAAAGTATCCACCTAGAAAGTGCAGCGAGTGGTCCCAGGAGCTTTGGTCACACCCGGTGAGGTGTCACCACCAGAGAAGATGTGGAGAACATCTAAGATGACAAGAACCTTCATGTGATGGCCTATCCTAACCCTTCCATGGGGAAATCCTCCCAGAAATGTTAATGGATAATCAAGGAAATCCAATCGTGTCCTAGCTGGTGACCTCCACCCTAACGTGGACACTGAGACCCAATGCACCCAGAAGCCACCGGTGGGGTGGCAGGAACTGAGGTGTCCATGCACAATCCACCTTTCCTGGAGGTGATGGTAGGGTGTATCCAGGAACAGGGACCAGTGTGGCACTGGTGGGACCCCACAACTCCATGTGTCACCCCATAGATGACAGTGCCGTCCCAGTTTGGCCCAATTTGGCACTGGTGGACCTCCATGTCACCACGTAGGTGACAGTACCATCCCAGTTTGGCCATGGTGGGATCCCATGTCATCATGTGTGGCTCCATAGGTGACAGTGCCATCCCAGTTTGGCCCAGTCCCATGCTGTTTGGACCCTATGTCACTTCCTGGGTGACAGTGCCATCCCAGTTTGGCACAGTCCAGGACTGGTAGGACCCCACATCACCCTGTGTCACCTCCCAGGGGACACTGCCATCCCAGTCTGGCACTGGTGGGACCCCCACATCCCCATGTGTCACCCCACAAATGATGGCACCATCCCAGTATGGCCATCATTGGTGTGACCCCCGTGTCACCCTGTGTCACCTCCCAGGTGGCAGTGCCATCCCAGTATGGCCCAGTCCAGCACTGGTGGGACCCCACTTTCCCCTGTGTCACCTCCCAGGTGGCAATGCCATCCCAGTTTGGCCCAGTCACTTACTGGTTCTTCCCTTCTTGGTGATGCAACGCTTTATTTTATTTCTTTTTACAGCTTTACCCCTTTTTTGCACCGTTTCAGCCCATTAAAGCTCATGGGGTGACATCATCGGTGGCACCTTGTCCTGTTGGGGGTGGCACTTGGGGACGCAAGTGTCCCTGCAGTATTAGGGGGGATGTCCCCAAGGACAGGAGGGTTCTGGGGGGACAGTGGGCCCTCCCCATGGGGACAAGGGTGTCCCCAGGAGGGGCGGGGATGGACACTGGGATGAGGTCAGGGACTGGAACCCAAATTGGGGGTGCCCTTAGTTGGGAGCTGGCCCCAAACCAGTACAGGGCCTGAACTGGGAGCTGGCCCCAAACTGGGAAAGAGCCTTAAAGCGGAACAGAGCCTCAACTGAGGCAGGAGCTGACTGGGCCTGGAGCCCTGAGCTGGGCCTAGAGACCTAAACTGGGCCAGGAGCTGAGCTGGGCCTACAACTCTGCAGCTGGGCCTAGAGCCCTGAACTGGGCCAGGAGCTGATCTGGACTGGGAGCTGAACTAGGCCTAGAGCCAATCTGGGCTGGGAGCTGAACTGGGCCTAGAGCCCTGAACTGGGCCATAGAGCCCTGAGCTGGGCCAGGAGCTGAGCTGGGCCTACAGCTCTGCAGCTGGGCCTTAGAACCCTGAGCTGGGCCAGGACCTGATCTGGGCTGG